CAGCGCCAATTGTAGCTGGATGTAACCTCTCCTAAACTCATAGTTCTTGGGATACTTGTAATTTCCTCCTGCATGTTAGATGTTTGTAAATGCCTTTGGGACTGCAGGAACCATATGTCAGATCTTTGTATCGTCCATAGCACTCAGTGTCTGGTACAGAACAGGCAGTATATGTTAGAAAGATTGAATTTTGTTAACTATCTCCCAGAATGGGCAAGGTTATTCCAGATCTGCAATGTGCCTCTGGTCATCTTGGGCCGCAGAACATTCTTGCCAAAGAACACCTGACTCAGGCATCTGTGTTACTTTGCTTACCTCCCAAGAGGGGCACCCTTGCAGAGCGGCTCCCTTCATTTCTGATATAAAGAGGGCATCTGGAAGAAGCACATATCAACCACACAGATAAAATGGGTCACTATTTCAAAAGACGGAAAGAAACACCAAAAGGAATAATTTTGATTCAACACAAACCCATTCCTTTAGGAGCTATGTCTCATTAACTGTGCTAGAGGTAAGTGAAGCTTTCAGTAACCGTGAACATCTTACAGTGATGTTCACACAGGGACTAGAGTTCAGTTCTGTTGTTTGCTAAGTAGTATTTTCTTTCCTCCCACCCCAACTTCTCTCCTTTGCTCAATACAAATGGAAGTGTTTGTGGTATACATTATTGTATCAAACAGAAGCAGATTAAAATTAGGAACTTTGATTTGATATCTTGTGTAGATAGACATTTTGAGTTAATTGATTTAAAATACTGAACAAGTAATTTTTGACATCTAACATAGTCTTGTCAAATGGATCCTTATCAATAATAGCTGTACTTCTGAGAATGCAAAAGTGTGGAAGGGATGTTAAAACTAAATTACCAGAATTTTTCCTTCCTGGCAGGGTAATGTTTTAAAGAACTTCAAACAAAGAAGTATTATGAAATGTAAATCAATCCATTTATCTAGAAAAAAGACTTGTATTTCACATTTTAAACACCTATAACAGTAGCAGTTTTAATCAAAACTAATAAAAATAAAGCTCTTACCAGTGGGCTTAAGTTGATACTAAATCATTTTCAAAGGCAGTTGTGATTAAAAATAAAAAGGGAAAATCTTTTGACTGTTTTTATAAACTATTTGGAAACAGATTTTCAGTGGTATACAGATTAGAGAACAGGAAGAGTTTTGTTTATTTAAAAACAGTATTTTAAAGTTTAAAAAGAACCCTTTAAACAGAGGTGGTCTGAAAACGTAAAAGCTGGTACTTGTCTGCTTTTAGCAAAGGATGTGAGTATTCTCTGCAGGTATTCTAGTTTCCTGAAATTGGCTTATTTGATGGCAATACATCAGAATTTAATAAAGGGGAATTTAAAAATAAGCTTGCTTTTCTAAAAGTTTTTTTGGATTTTAACTTTTCTTGGCTTGAAATAAATGAAGTTACTGAAATATCAGCTTGGATTTTTTTTTTTGTTTCTGTATCTATATCTGTTATTTATGATAAAACTTAAGGTCAAATTTGCCTCTAGATATCAAAATATTGTGCCAGGGAATGAAAAGGATTTAAAATTTAATGATAGACCTGTCATTGTCCTCTTCTTGAGGGTACTTTTTGCATAAAAGCTTTGTTTTGTTTGGTTTTAGTATTATATACGACTTACTGTAGAAGATTGCTTTGTAGCCAGTAAATAAAAGGAATTTTTTGTTTCCTGTTGTATAGAAAATCAGGTTCATTTGGATGATTGTTTGTTGTTTGAGATGGGTAAAGAAAGGTTTGGTTTGGGAGTGTTTTCTTAGTTCTTCAAGAATATGATGTGGAACCATGTGACTTGGGTAGCTTCTATAGCACTGCTGACAGGAATGGAGGAAAATCTTAGAATTTTAAAGTTGGGAAAAAGATAGAGATTTTTCTGTTTGGAGTGTGACATCTGTGCTGCCATATGATATGGTAGTAATTAAAAGTGGCTTGGGGACTGAGGACTTGAATGTTTTTATTTTAATTAATGTAAGTTAAATTGCCATATGTGTCTGTTAGCTATTATATTGGACAGTACAATCTCAAACTATTAAAACTTAACATTGAGTATACTAATGTTCTATGAAACTTTCAAAACCTTAAGACAAAAATCTGATAGAAACTCCAAAAAGTAAGTAAGTCAATTTCACTAATTAAAATAGTTACAAATAATTATAACTTAAAAGAAAATCTAACCCAATGAGATGTACCAAAAAGAAAAATTATATAATTATTGAGTTAATTACACCTGAAGTCTGCCAACATATTCATTATTAAAGGAAACTTCAGATTATTGTACCATTAGAAGCAAAAATACATTTGTAAAGGAACT